AAATCAGAGTTTCACAGGAATGAACTGATTTCTTTAAGTATAGTATTAAGAATAGGACATGGACATGATATGACAATGATATGACATAGACAATGATAATGAAATTATCATTAGGATAAAATAATTTTTAGGGTGTTTGATTTAAAAAAAGAATCAAAAATTTTGATTGAAATTTGGTTCCTTTGATCCCTTGTAGATCAAATCAAATTGAAATTGTCTTCATGATTGATTCAATTAAATAAATGTCAGTTACTTTTTGTTAATATATAAAGTATAAAGTATAAAGTAACATTGTTACAAAATTTTATGAATTTTTGTAGAATTTGTTAGTTTAGAACTAAGAAAAATTCAGTATTTAATTTTTATTATTTGTTTGAAAATTTCAGAAAGAGAAAAACAGCCTTTGATTATCATCATTGAAGTAACATAGCAAAACTGTCATTTTTAATTTTTTTGGTATAACATTTTGATTTTACCTAATACTGATGCAGATGGTTTAGATTATTAATAGATTACTGTAGCAAGTTTTTTAATCATAAATAATTGATTGGTTTAGATTGTTGACTAATTAGTAAAAATGTCTTTTTATATCTTGCATAAAAACTAGTCTTGTCAGTGTGTGCTCCTTGAATTAAAAAAAAAATTATTATTATATTTGTATTTTTAATTTAAATTGTGCACAAAAAAAATCAAAAAAACTAAACCACATAAACTAAACCACATATTATATTTTTCGAATTTTTGTTCTTTTGCTCATTTGTGCATGTGTTTCACGTATGCATATGATAAAACTTGAATACTGGTTAATATTAACTCAATTTGGTAAATCGCAATACCAAAGCAGTAGAATAAAGTGTTTATGTAATTAAAGCTAATCAAATTTGGTTGATTGTAGCTACATTTAATTTGATTTAAAAACTAGTGCTGTAAATTATGATGATGGTAGTAATTGTATTTACAGCATATAAAAAGTGGTTGCAATTACCTTTGCAACCACTTTTGCAACCATACTTTTTCCTTTTTTGGATTACAGCACTAGTCTTTAGACATATCATAATAATAAAAAGGCTTGGATGTTGCCTGAAGATGATGAAATCATTGAAGAACTTGTTGAAATATATAAAAACCAACCAGAAGTACCTACTGATAATAATGAAGAAGTTAATAGCACTGAGCCAGTAATAATAAGTATGAATGAAGCTTCAAAAATTGACCATGCTTTTTATTACAACAAGAAAATTCTAAGAACAATTAAAGCAAGTTAATGCTCTTGATCAATATATTAATTAAAAAAAAATAAATTCAATGAAGCAAACCATAATGAGTCAATTTTTTAATCAACAATAATATTAATATGTAATAATAATATATAAATAAAGGGAATTGTTATTCGCACCCCGTGTGACTAAGTATAGTAATGTGACCAATGAATGGCTTAAAATGTGATGATTTTATTGGTTCATCTTTGTCTTAGTCACACGGGGTGCGAATAACAATTTCCTAAATAAATAAATATTTTTTAGAATTCATTGCATGACAATAATTTTTATTAGTGTCACGTGAAACCAATAAAATTCTTTCTCTCTATAAATGCATCCCTCCATAAATGCACAGTCTCATCCATTCCTGAGGGGGTGCACTTATAGAGTGTTCACTGTACTAATTAAAAATCTTGGTTTTACAGATAAAGTTCAAAGAACAGTTCCATAAAAAACCTTAATAAAAACCTTCCCAATATAGTGGATATCTAGGTTTAATAGATTTTTGGAAATTTTCCCTAATTGCCCAAACTATCCATTAAGCCTAGATTTACTGTGTATACAACAAATAATTTTTTTGAGAAAATCTCTATTACATTAAAATTAAAAGAACTATTCTATCAACTAATAGAGCTATTTTTTTAAAGGGTAGAACAGGAAATGACTTCTATACTTTTAAAATTTGCACGAGATTTAGGAGGTAATTAGACTGAGCCAACTGTAGTACAATTAGAAGTATTTTGAAGAAAGAACAAGGTGAAAAAATTGCACCTTATATTTTCAAAATAAATGATGCTCAGACACTTGAAGCTTATCTAAAAAAGAAAAATAATAACACTAAGAAAAAGAATCAGAATGAAAATGTGCTATCACCCAACAAAATGCAGAAATCTTTAGAAGGAAAATGAGGCATACTGCAACAAAACCAGACAAAGTGAACATCATACATGTCACATGGAACTACAGGCCTCAAATTTAATCATCACTAGCATGATATTATTATGTTTAATGTCTCATCTGTCATTCTTTTGCAATTATAAAACAAACATTTAGTCATCCAGATATAAGTATATTTTGAAATTTATTATATATAATATTAATCAACCTATAGTTGAATAGCATACTTATCATGTATGAAAACAAAGAATTGCAATAAAAAATTCCATTCTTTCAAATAAAAGAATAACAAGAATTTAAATATGCTATAAAAAAAACTAACAAAAGGTTGTTCTTTTTAATTAACAATATTTGACAGAATTTACTTTTTTCTGTTTCTTGGGTTTCTGTGGAGAATATAACATTTCAGTAATGAACTGAGTTGCCTTTTCATTTTTGTTTGGTGATGCCAAGCCAGACTCATAAATATATTTGTTTATATATTAGATTGGCTTTCCAATAACAATGTCTACAAGTACCATTATATCAGTCAAGAAAATATAATTTTTTTTTCAAAAATAAATAAATAAAAAAGTATTTATTGATATCTTAAAATGCAAAAGGATAGGTATGCATTCTCTTAATTTAGAAATATTTTGTTTAGATGTTGGAATAATAATTCTCTCTATTTCTCTAAAGATATACAATTGTTTAAATGGAATCAATAATTCATAAATGATAGCAAGCATTAGAGATAAACAGAATGAATATTATTGAGAAACTTAATAAATAAAAGCTTCATGTAAGGCATAAAGTTTTATTAGATTTAGATTAGCAATGGTTCCACCATGAGTTCTGACAATTTTATTTATCATAACCTTGAGCATTTTGGCAATTTTAACTTTGTCTCCAATGTAATGAGTGTGTTATCTGATATTTGGAGGTCCAGAAACTTCTGATATTGCAAATTCAATTTTTAGAGATTTTGTTATCCACACTGTATCAATTTTCCTACCACTACTCCTCTCCTCATCATCACTTTTATTCTTGACTTGATCATCTGCCAAAGCAAATAAATTCTTCTCATAACTGAATATTATTATTTCATTTTATATTTTTTAAAAAGAAAAGTTTAATTTAGGCCATATATATTATATACTACTTACCATATATGGGTGTGGAAAATAGAAACAGCCCTAACTGCAAAATCATGATTTTGAGATAATTAAAAAAAGATTTTGACCCAAAAATTCGGTATTTGTATATCGTTTCCATATTTATAAGAAAAATAGGGGCTGTTTTCCAAACAAAATAATAACAATATAAATAATATAATAATAAATAATAATTTAAATCCGTGTTACGTTATTTAACCAAATACCTGGATTTGTATCTATCATTGCTTATTTTAGTAAAGCACTGATTTTTTGGTTCTTATACGATTCAGACATAATTTCCTTCAATAAATCATTCCTGTGTTCAATTGATCTTATTCTATAAAAAGGGTTAAAACAGCAAGGTAAACAACCTGTGAAGTTATCAAAATATTTTTTCTTCACATGTTTTTAAGAAAAATTTATTAAATCTTTTCCCTGAAATAAAGTAATTGTAAATATAGGGTATTTATTTGAAAACAGTTATCTTTCTTTCAATGTAGCATACCTTAAGATTTCTAAGATGAGATTTTTGATTTCAAGGTATTCCTTTTTTACAGGTTTCAAGAGAATTTTGTTTATTTCACTACTAATGTTGATTGTAAATGATTTAATAAATTTACTTCCAGAGCCACTGGTTATATTTATGATGTTGTAATCAGAAAGACTATTGTTATAAAATAGAGATTTATTTTGGTGTGTATAAATAAATCATTATTAATTAAACTTACTCATTAAAATTTTTAGCCTTGTTAGACTTCCAATTATCAAGAGATATCCTTATATTAATATTATCAATAAATAAATCTTTGTAATTGCTTAAAACTTCATGTGTTAATAATTCATATGTTTTATTATCAATTGTTTGATAGTCTAATGCATGAATATCCTGCAGGTAAAAGAAAAAATAGAAAAATTAATAACTTTTTGTTTTGTAATTACTTCATTTTCTATGGGTTAGAAATTGGGTTATATCAAAACAACCAGCCTTATCACCCAAAATAATAAATATTACTACTTACTTTATTTCCTTTGATGATGATAAAAAAGAAGATTCTCTAGGAAGCAAACATAAAATCAACGTTTAAGCCATCAAATGCATAAATTAACACCATATTTCTAATAGACCTACTGGTTTTCATTTTTTTCCATCGATACATTTTTTTTAATTGTATTTATTAATATTAAAGTTCCTAAACGGGTCGAGCTAACCCGATAATTTCGGGTCGGGTTCGATTCGGGCTGGATTCGGGATCATACAGCACAGGAACGCAAAAATGTACAGCACCGAATGTCTGTTAACTGAAATTTATTTTATTTAATTCAATTATTAAATAGAAAAATACATAAAAATATATATTAAAGAACTGTCAGAGCACTTGCATCGGAGGAAAAATGCTCAGGCCCAATACCATTTGTAAGTATTTCCATTATTATATTATTATTACTAATATTTATATCATCATTGTTTTTGTTATCTTTTTCATTTTTACTCTCTATCTCTTCCTCTTCAACCACTGTTGAATTACTTCTATCATTTTTCTTATATGATTTGTTTTCATTTTTGCACTCCCCTACCATAAATATCCGACCACCCAAGTTGTATAACGTCAAATGAAAAGAGTCCTTACTAAAAAAGTAACGTTTTCTTAAATAAAACCGCTTTTACTTTACTAAGTAGACTTGTACTTGATATCAAAATCTCTAAATTACAAAAGCTTTGAAAGGTCCGGTATGGTATTAATGGAAACATTTAGCAAATAGTCCAAAAAAGCAAATTTTCAATCGGAATCTTTACATGTAATAAAGGTCAAATTTCTTCATTGTAATGTATATTATTTCATTAATAAAATGTGCTCAACATAACAGATTACATATATCTACAATATGGCGTTGCATAAATAATTCGTGAAAAGGGTTTAAAAAAGTATCCGACCACTCCCGTAATTTTATTATATAAAACACTTAATAAAGTTCACAAAATGCAAATTTTAAGGCTTTACGTTTTGTTGTTTATACTGATCAAATTTTCTCAAATTTTAACCATATATAATTCAAGATATTTTAAGTGGACTTACTTAATGACGTAATCCATGATTCAACGGAGTTTTGAATGTTTTTACTAGGCTCAAAGTTTTCATAAAAATCACAGAATTTTTTGTCTAATTTCATCTTAAATTCATTAATAATGAAACTCGACGAGACTTTACTTTATATGCAAATTAACTTTTAAAAACATGTTTACTTAATTCACCAGTCCCGGTTTGATTCATAATAATAATAACAATAATAATAATAATAAGGCGTAACATTTCCGATTATTAAAATGATCATCAGGTGGTTGGATATTTATGGTAGGGGAGTGTATATATGAGTATTCCTCTAATGATATACTGTAGCTATTTGTTTGGAAATAATTATTATCATTTGAAAATTTATAGATAATTTGCATTTTAAATTAGCATTAAAATTGATTAAATAGATTTTGGTTCATAAGAAAAATTTTGGGAGCTTTCAAAACTGTGGAATGATACACACATGACTTTACCTACACGGAAAAAAGGACAGGAAATTTGATCTCACGATACATGATACATGCAGACATTCATGATCCCGTCATGGAAAAACATTAACAATTGGATGAGCCTTTTATTATTAATTTGTTAATTATATATATAAACTAAAGGTAATTTAAAAGTTTTTGTTTCTTTACTATTAAAAAGTTAATTAACCCTCATTGTATTATGTTAACTACAAATTTTATGTCAAAGATGTAGTAATAGAAAAACTCCTTAATAATAACCTATCGTCATGAGCGCAACTCCAGCTATGTAGCAACACATTTCTCTTGAGTCCATAAATTAAATGAGCACCTCCATCAGCCCAACCTTTTGATTTAGTTTCGCCATTACAAGTTTCATTAATACAGTCCATTCCCTCTATAATAATAACAATAACGGATCTTTCTATATAGGATATTCCATAATAACGGACAAAAATTTGAAATCTCTCTCTATAACGGATATTATTAATTAAATTTATATAACATATACCGGATTGCATCTGAAAAAACCATCTATTACTAGTCTATAACGGATTCACGTGATCTAAAAATAAAATAAATGATGGTGTAATGTACTAATGTACATAGAAAACAAATAAAATATATAAATTGAATTTCTTGATTTAAATACGCCTAATTCAAGTTCTAAGTTAATTTATTTTGTTTTGTTATTTTTTAAAATGTCATTAAATAAGAGAATATCTTTGGCTGTTTTGGTAAAAAGAGAGGTTTGTTTAGCAAAGCAGACAAACTCCGATTCCAACAAACAAAGAATTAGCAACAACTTAAAGTCATTTAATTCAAAAATACAACTAAATTGAATGTTTTTTTAATATTAACATTGAATAGTATTTTTTATGTAATTATAAGTAATGAACATTTATTTTTATGTTTTCGTTAATATTAAAATTGCACATAACTTCAACATGTAATGATTAATCATTTTCTATAGTCGAACGATATGTCACAGAAAGTGTAATTACTACTAATGCCGATTCTCTCTATAACAATATTTTTCTAATCCCAATGATCCGTTATAAAAAAGGTGAACTATACAAATAATTTTTTGCACATAATGGCGATAGATTTTTCTGGTTTCTCCAGTATCAGGCAGAAACCAAGTTATGATGTGAATTCTTTGAAGGACGACACCATTTGCTAATATTTTTAGAAGGAATGTTGTTTTCCTTTGAATGCATGCTTAACGTTTTTTTTTTTTTGGTTCAGCTTTAACAATCTCTGATTGAACTTAGAATATCTGGTTGATACTGACCTGTTGGAAAAAGTGACAAATCGGAAAATCAAGCCAAAAAAAAAACACGAAAAAAATTGATTTCTTTTGTTTGTTTAATTTTTATTAGTTTCTTGGTTTGGAGACCAATTTCGGACTTGAATAAGATATTACTACTGCTAAAAGGCAAGTTTAGGCTTTGATTTTCTTTGTTGGCATTATTTTTATTTTTATTTTTCTTGTTATTACAGTCCCCGGCGAAAGTAATGGCGCGTAATTTTTTATGAATAAAAAATGTACTTTATTAAAAATTTAAAAAAAAAATTTTTTTTCTTAAAGCCAAATAGTATGGCTATAACATTTATTATAGTGTTAGTACTTTGTATGAGCTCCTTCGGCATCGATGCACGCTTGAACCCGATTTTGCATGCTACCGATGCTATTAACTATGACGTTTTTTTCGATTCCCTCCCATTCCTCCCTAATAA